TATACTTTTCCTTATTTTCACTATTAGTAGTACTCGTATTAATACCTTATACTTTTTTTTTCATTATTGTTGTATTATTAAAGTAGTTTTAATTTCCAACCCGTAAGTCTCTCTCCCTTTTCTCCGTCCTTTCCCCTCCTGGGGGGAGGGAGGGGGTTAACAGAGAGCCTCTGCCGGCCCAGCCTTAAATGGTGACAGCATGCAAATGAGTCTCCACCTCCATGAGGAGTCCGAGAGACCCCCGACCACCTAAAAAGGCGACCAGCCCTCAGCCATGAGGCTTGCTCCTCCATCGTGGACCCCAGCGGACTGACCGACCAACTGACCAAGAGGACTCTGATTCAGAGACTGAGAAGTCGCTGGATCCACAGGTGGTGATCCTATCTCTTTGTTTTCTCTCTTCCTTTCTTTCTTTTCTCTTTTTCTCCTTCCACTTTGGATCTTGTATAAGAATAAGAACTTGCCTAGTTTTTTGTTCCTTCTGCCACAGTTTTAGGGAAATTTGATTAATAAAGTTGATTATTTTGTTTCTACCTCTGGAGAGCCTGTGGTTTCTCCTGCGAACCACGCAGAGTATTGTAAAAGATCACCTCCCCCCAGCCCTGCTGAGTGGGATGGGACAATAGGGAAATCATACCGATTGCCTTCTAACTTTCCTAGCCTCCTGAAATTTGAGGGTCAGGGATTTCCTAAATCAAAGGTGATGTCTTCGAATTTCACATTCAACCAGAACTTATAAGAATTTGTTCAATCACTTTTGGAACCTATGCACAAAATTAGTATTCACATCTGATAGCTAATTACAGATTTTGTGAAGAAATAATATTTTGCTTTAAACTATTGTCCAGTTGCATTTGATATGCCTTCATTATTGTTCTGGTTCATCTTTTTACCACCTCTCATGATTTTATACACCTCTCTTAGAGGATCCTGAGGTGTTTTCCAACATGAAGCTCCAATCTATTTCATCACCATACGTAAAGAAATCATTTTAAATCTTTGACCATACCTTTGTGATGAGAATTTCGCCCCCCTTCATGACTAATATTAAGAAATTAGTTAAATTGAAGTATACACTGGCTTCAGTAGACTGGAGAACAAAAACCTTTAACAAAGGCTTATCTGAAGCCTTTAGGAAAGGGAGAGATTCAACCCCATGGACTTCCAGTGGGATTTCCACACTCATTTCCCTTAGTTTCTTTGAAGTTCTGACTTCACACAGCACGAGCTCATTACTTTGTGCTGCCATTCTGAGGCTTCCTCTTCTTTCTTTTTCTTGGCCTCCTCTAGAAGTGCAATCTTGGCAGTGAATTCAGCAAGTTCTGCTGCCTGAAAGAAAGAAAATAATGAAGTAGAAGTTTTAATTCGGTTTCATTTTGGTCCTGCAGTGGAAGAAAGAAAAGCCTTTGCTGTGATCCAGCTTGAAAAGAGTTAGTTACCATCCATCACTTTCCTGCTAAAAATAGAAATTTTAAGCATACATGACAGAGGGAATGAATCAGTACTCTTGCCTGATAGAAATAAGTCCAGAAAAAAAATATTTATCTTCTACACTTCCAAAGCTTGCTGGGAAAGAGCAAGCTGTAGTTACAAATTAGCATTTGCGGCTGTTTCAGTTTAATACAATTTTAATGGTTCCACGAACAAGATCATAATTCTGGATCATAATCTCACTACTATTAAGCTAAATCTTGCCTTCAGAATTGTGGGCTAAGTTTACAGAAGATCAAAAGCCGCTTTATAGTGAGAAATCACGTCTATTTTCGTGCCTTTCTCAGTTATTATGTGCAAATCTTGAATTAGAAGTAGTCTAGCACAGAATGTCAGAAGATACTGTAAATGCTGGGAACTGAGGGGAAAAAAAACCAACAAAAAATACCCCCCAAAAAACCCCCAAACCACGGTGCCACGAACTCTCAACTACCACCATCAAGCTTCAGAACAGACCTGCCTCAGAGAACAGGCTTCCCAGTGGACTGCAGAAGGAAGCTACTCTTGTTCTCAGCTGGATAAGCCTGACACTATTAGAAAGAGAATGCAGTGAGTGTTGTCAGTCTGAAATGTCTAATTCATCATTTAATTTCCTACAGCTCCAGTGTTTGTTCTTTTTTTTTTTCCCTTGCAACTAGTGGCAAATCTAATGTAGTTTTCTAAAAAAGTTCCCACAACAATCTGTAATAGTATTTCACATACTTTTATCTGTGTTTCAACATACTTGTCCATTTGACAAAATAGATATAACCAAAAATAAAGGCTAAGTTTTCAACTATCTTTTTAAAATTCTTTCAAAATAGGGTTAAAGTTTCTTACTAGCTGCTCCTGGTTCTTCATTTGATCAGCAGCCTGCTTGGCTAGAGCAGCTTTAGCTTCTTCAGCTGCTCGACGTTCTTTTTCCAGGCGCTCTGCTTCCTCTTTTGCACGCTTTCGTTCTTGATCCAGTTCTAGAGCTCTTCTAGTCTGTTCCTCTAGCTCTGCCAAAAGGAAAGTTTGCAGACAAGATATCACTACCTAGCTCTTCCTCATATGCAACACAGGTAACAGTTGTAACATGCTCAAAATAAAGGAACCTAGAAAGCTGACAAAGACTTACGAGGCCGCCTCAAGCTAAGAAGAGCTGTTGAGCGTGCTACCTGAAGCTACGTTCAGTGTCTGACCTTTTTCGCCCCCTCTTTAAGACATGCTTTGGGTATACTTCATCTCACCTGACAGTTCTGACAGCCCAATGTTTCAGAAAATTACCACCTCACTGATAAAACTAAAAACCCAAATATATGTATATATACATCCACACACACCCTCACTCTTACTATTGAGATTATATATATATTAAATCATGCTCCTGTACAGTAAAAAAAGGCAAAACACTCTTCTACTCTATTGAAATGCCTGGCAAAGATTCCTTAACTGAAACAGATGATTTAGGCGTGTGCCTCCAGCAAAATGACCTAAGATCCATTGGAAGAGTCAGAAAAATTATCCACAGAATAGAGTCAAAAAGGTGCAAACAGGAAAATTTTAAATCAAGGGAGGGATAATAGTTGTCTAGCTGCTTGGTTAGCAAAATATTGCAGTCTAAAGGACAGAACACTGAGTGAAATAGCAAGAAGTAAAAATCTACCACGGTAAGATTTGCACAGGCAAAATACACTCCTCTGATGTGCAAAATGACGTGACTAAGAAAAAAGTTTCTGAAGCTCCCTGCTGATGCTAATGATAAATTTTCCACTATGTTTTTGTCTAGGCATAGCTGCCATAGATTCCCTCACCAGAAAACCTAAACAACTGCTCAGTTATTGGAACTATCCATTTGCCCTTCACCTAACGCTTTAATACTAAAAATGCATCTCCCCAGGGATGCTGACACATGCTTAATCTTTGCATTTGTAGTTTTAAGTAGGTCTCATGTAATCAATATTCTTCAGTTGGTTTCCCAGGCCTACTACTTCTGTTATAAAATTAAATGAAGAGCATTACAAGTACGTGGAGTTGTACAAAAGCAGTACTTCAAAAATTAAATAAAATGCATAAATATTTAAAAATGCCAGTAAAAATCTTCCCATGATGACGGAGGACACTGAACTACCAAGTCAACTACAGAATGCAGACATCATTTATAGAAACACTGTTCCATATATGAATACAAGGCTAAAAAGACCAGCAACACATGACATTATGTATTGCATCAGAAATTAGGCTACATTGCTTACAGAAGTTACGATAAAATGTACATTGTTAAACTTTTAGAATCACCCTGACACTGTTTTGTCCTAGACTAAATAGCTCTCCCTTAAACAATTCCATAGTTCATGTGTTACCTATCTGGATATGTCCAATCTTTTCTGCATTGAAAGACTGAAAAAACATGGTGGTAGAGCTGGAGAACAGTGCCAGGCACATGTAATTTATCTGCATCAATTTAGTCAGTGATTCTCTCTACCATGCCTGAAGTCAACAGTTACGAACAGAAGAGAGGAACAAAACTTTTATAAATGTGAACTAGACCTGAAGAAAAAAAGGGACATGGAGAGGAGGGACTGGGAAGTACTGGAGGCAGGGACTCTACAGGGTGGTTCAACACAAAGAACTCTGATTGGTGAAACTACGTTTATTCGCTAAAATCTGACAAAACTTTAATTTTAAAATTCTCAAATCTTACAAGGGAATAGGAAAATGAAGGAACAAGGAATTTCCAAATGAAATGCTAAATTTACAAAATCCTAGAGGAAGTAATTTGAATCTTCCTTTCTAATTTCCCTGATCACTCCAACCCCAGGTTTTCAGAACTTTAAGTATTTCATAATTCTGAGTTGAACTGTGTACACATTAATTTCCTTTTTATTAACGAAAATTGAAACTTCTGCTATATTATGGATTCATTTTATATTACAAATATACACACATATGCACACACACCATCTTTTAACTCTCAACATTAAAAAAGCATCTCTCAAATAATATACCACTAAATTCTTGTTATTAGTAGTAAAATAAATTTTAAAAACTCACAAAACAACAAAAAAACCACACATACCAAAAAAATTGTGGAACTGAACTACCCAACTGAACTAAATATTGTCATCAGATATAAAAAATCCGGGACTAGCAAGAGCTCACCCTTCTGAGCTTTCATTGTTTGTTCCTCAATTTGTCTTAAGCGTTCCATTAACTCTTCCTTTTCACGCTCTATTCTTTCCTTTTCCTTTTCTGCTATCTCCCTTTTCTTCTTCTCATTTTCTAATTGTGCCCTGAAAAAGATAGCAAAAGATTTTTTTTTTGAATCTCAAACAGATTAAATTCTACTCTTAAGGATGCTGGTAGCCTATTTTTCAGTTTACTCAGCAGAGAAGCACATAATTTTAAATGTTTCAAATTCAGTTTACAATGTAAGAAGAACCAAGTTTTTGTTTCAAAATACTGTACGGAAAAACAATTTATGAATGGAACTAGTTAGCAACCTTGGTTATGGTTCAACCAGGAAAATCAGCAATTATACCTGCATTTTAGACATGGCTGATGTTTCATCTGGGCCAGAAATGGCAACAGTATTTTTTAAATATACAAAAGGTAAGCCATGACATTCTTCACTGAACTTGCTTTAAAGGCAGAGTATAAAAATCCCCAAGGATCAAGCAACAGAGAGTTAAGACTGTTTCACAAAAACATAATGAGAAACAATGGTACAGCTACAGTTACTACAATGAAAGCTTAAAAAAGATACGGCTTTCTATTAAGACAGGTGAGCCATGCCAATCCACAAACCTGCTTACATATCACAGAAAGAAAAGCAGCTCTTTCTTTTCTAGAGTACTAAGATGTCTGATATTCCATGACTTAGTTTTCTTAAAAGGGTAGAAGAATTTTTTTCTGTTTCATGGAAGTTTGTTAATTACCTTTCCAATTGTTTCTGATGTTTCTCTTCTCTAGCTTGGGCCTTCATCTGTTGCACTTCAATTGTATCAGGTTTCCTCCTCCTCATGTACAATTCATGATTTCCCATACACAGTGCCAAAATTCGCTTGTTAATTCTCAGACGGGGTGCATAAAAAACAAAATCCTAGCAAAAATAATTGCAGCATATCCATTAACCTAAAGATACCATTGTGACAAGACTCAAAGCATTC